AAAATAAATACTGATAGTCCTTGACATTTGTTTAGCAAATTTTTGAAGTTACAACAGTGCTGAAAAAAGTGACTTCTTATTGGTCCTCATGTGTGCACACTTTCGTAGTCACATGATCAACATGAGTGCAAACCAGCTCCTCTCAAGCTCCTCCCACCTATCTTCAACATCCCTGCCTTTTTGCCAATGGCTGGCCAGGGTAGTAGTGGCTGACTGAGACTGAAGGCCCCGAGCTTTTACTTCAGACCAGGCCCTGCTGGCATTGCCAGTGCTGTCAAGGAGAGTCACTGTGCAAGGTGGCCAAAAGGGCATAGATGTTGGGAAGAGAAGTGGCTGGAGGAAGTACTTCTGCAGTTACTAACTGCAGGCAGGCAGCTGAATGCTCAAATTTTGATTCTGTGGACATTCTGTGGAGTTACAGCAATGGCTGTAACTTTGGAGACTGGACATAAGTAGCATTTGTTCAGGGCTGACATAACTACAAATGATTGCTGATCAAATGGTCATCAGATAAGGACTACCTATATTTGTGTATTTCCTTTTACTCTTGCTATTTCTAAAGCATTTTCAAACTTTTATCACAACGTTTAATACAAAATTGTCAGTATTATTTAAAATTTGTATACACCTTGTGCCATAATAATTCATAAACACAAATCTGCTGGTCAAGTATGTTTAGCGCAAAATGTTTGAGCATTAACAAAGTGGATGAAAGAGTGAATTGATCTTTACCCTAATGAAATCGCAATGTTAGACGTTCATCTTATATCCTATTTGCACTTTTTGGAGGACTGCTTGTGTGAAATCACAATTCCACTTGACAGAATGCATATGATCTTGCAGCTGGTAATTTGAGACTTGTTTACTATTGCCAGTTTTTTGATGTGTTTCTGATGAGGGCTAATATTGTTTATAGAATTGTTTGGTAGTGTAAAGATTCATTGTGTGGATTGAAGGCTGAGGCAGTAAATATGCAGGCTCAGTGGCTAAATGTCATCATTTGTGGAGAGGATTGAGGTGACAAATGGGCTGTGGACCATGATTGTGAGAAGATTGCAGTAAGTGATGATCTACAGCCACACTTAGAAAATCACTCCCTAGAAAATAGTTTCAGGGGCTATTGGAGCATTTTCCTCAAGACTTCCAAACTGCTGCATAAAATACCTCTTTTTCCTAGAGGAAAAAAGAAAAACTAGGTTCCTGATAATACTCCGTATCATTTTTGGTAGTAGTAAATTGTATGTCACCAAACAAAATTTAACATTTTTAAATATATCATGAGTCTCATAGAAATAAAGTATTCCATAGTCATTAATAATGATTGTGTCTAAAAATATTTGTTACTTTTATGGATTTTTTTAGAGACTGCAAGTCTCAAAACATAAAGAAAAAGTAATAACTAGATATTTGTGTGCTGTATTTTTCTTCTTCTTAATCGATTACTTCCACAGTGGTTTAGTCTTTTTTTGTAAATCAAGGTCTAGAAATATTAGGATTGACATACAATATCAACGTTCTTCAAACGGGTGATTCCAGATGTGTTACTATGATGTTTAGGGATTATGGGAATCGAAGTTTAATCCATCTGGAAGTTGCCAGGTGAGAGAAAGTTGGCTTAAGATAGTATCTTGCCTAATCCAAGTAGTGTTGCTTGCCAGAGACAGTAAAAGTGAACTGTTTTCTATATCTGAAGGGACATTTTCCCTTCCCTGCTTTTTCAGAATTTGGAACTTACACAGCTTTTTGGAGAGTTCTGGAAATTATTATTCATCTTTACTCACAATTTTGTAAAAACCATCAGGTGGCTTTAGTAAAGCAGCATTTAATAATTTGTGGAAAATTGCCCTTTTGGATCACATTCTTCTGAAACAAGATAAATCTTCCCCACCCCCAGGTAACTGTAGACTTCCCACCTAGAGGCCTCTTATACAATTGCATCCCAATATGATCTTTAAAAAGAAGATATAAAATGTCATTGTCTGTTTCTTTTCTTTCTTTTTTGGGCTGGGGAATGGATGCTAAAACCAGTTTGTTCAAATTTCATGTTGTATCCATGTTGTATGATACTTCTGGGGATATTTTAGACTTCAAATGTTTACTTAAATTGTGATTTATGACTGTATACAAGGAATATGCAGAGCTTAGAAAATAGTTTATAAAAAAGAGTTTCATAGAGTTGTTAGAGATAATATATACTATGCTGAAATTTATGTGGACACATACACACACACACACAAAATGCTAAGTATGGGTTGAGTAGTATGATGAGTTGACACAGATGTGAGTAATTTGATCGATAACATGTATCATATGATTTAATTCTATTCAGAGCAGTAATTTGGGCAGTAAAACAAGCATTACTTTGGGCCAATCATTCTCTTCTAACCCACCATGTAGGTTTGTTGTTGTTGGGGGAAAATGTAGGAATGCTGTTGAGCTAAATTACATTGATATACATATTTTGATATACATGTTACATACATATTTTGCCTTTTCTCCAAAGCAAAGGCAAAATATGTATCTTATAGTATCAATGTAATATAGTATTAATTGTAGACTTCTTTCTTCTTTCTTTACCTTGCAGTTTGGCATTACTGATTTTATAGCAAATATTTTTATTTCAGAACATTTTTAATGAATTGCATAACTGAACTTACAAAAAAGTCACATTCTCTTTTAATTTCTCCCATCTCTCCCATCATTTTTATATACTTTTGATAGAAAAAAATGTTTTTGTTTTCTCTTTAGGAACATTGCCTTATGGGCATTAAAGGAACTGTCCGCCGTAGTACAGATGGGGATTTTATCCATGCTAACGTTGACATTGATTTAATTATCACAGAAGAGCCAGAAATTGGTAACATAGAAAAACCTGTGGAAATATTTCATATTATTGAACATTTTTGTCTTGGAAGAAGGCGGCTTCATCTTTTTGGACGTGATAGCACCATTCGTCCAGGTTATTCTCAGGCTTGTTTTGTACTATATCATTTCAAAAACTTTACAGTAAATATGAAAATTTCATAACATTAATTTGTGTGCTTTAGAAAAATGTAGATTTTAAAGGAGTAGTTATGGCTTTCAGCGCAGTATAGTGGTCCCATTGAGCATAAAGGACAACTTTACCAAGCCTATTTTCTTACTAAATGACTGTAGATATAATGAGGACGTATGCATTCAGCATACAGGCACAAATGGTTGGGCTTTGTTTTGTTTTTTGCTCAGAATGGTTGCTGTGCGTTCCAAACGTTCTAGAATTTTTCTCTATCCTCAACTGTGTCATTTTATATAGTAGCAGTTCAAGCATTCCAATCATAAAATTCATCCTTAAAACTAGCCACCCCAGAGCTGTTTCATTCAGGACTCGAAACGAAATTAATTTCCCATTTGTATATTACAGTATTTAGATGTTAAGGCAGAAATATGGATATGAAACTGACATCTAAGTAAATAAATATGAAAGGCAGAAACAAGTGTATCACTTCTGGGTATGATACCTGACTTTCAATAATTTTATTAATAATTGAGAGTGATTATTCTCCTATGTGTTTTAAAAGCTAAAGAGGTAAATGTCTGATATCATTGAAATAGTCCTAATGGATTAATTTTAAGCATCTATAATTTCCAAAAATGACATTCAGCTACATCATGTAGAGTTTTATTAATAATTCTACCTGCTCTTATTTTATGGGAATAGTTGCTTGTGCTTCTACTTGGACAATATAAATTATGCAAAATTTAAGTAGTATTAAAAGAACCAATCAGGAAATGATTAAGGGGTACAATTTTATATGCAGCTCACGTTCCCCTTTTGTTCCCTTCCCTCCCTTTAGGCTGGTTAACTGTTGGACCCACACTCACAAATAGTAACTTCAATGCTGAAACATATACATCATATTTCACAGCTCCCAACTCCCACCTGACTGGCTGTACAGAAGAGATTGAGAGACTCAGACCAAAATCACCACCACCAAAAGATCGAGGTGGTGGTGCACCAAGGGGTGGAGGAAGAGGCGGGACTTCAGCTGGTCGTGGAGAAAGAGGCAGAGAGAGAAACCGAACTAATTTCAGGGGGGAAAGAGGGGGATTCAGAGGGGGACGGGGAGGTACTCACCGGGGTGGCTTTCCCCCTCGCTGAGCAATGAGAATCTTCATCTTTTTGCCTGCCTTTATCCTACTGAGTTTTTGTTTAAAAAATACAGTCTTAGTTCTCCAGTTACCTTTATTGGCAGCTCACTCTAAGATCTACTCACCAAAATATTTTTGTACCTATTATGAACCAGTCTTGTACAATAATCGAGATCTTACAATAAAGCACATTTACAATTGAATTCTCTGAACTTGGTTGTTTTGTTGCAGTTGTTTTATTACCTCACTGGTAGCATGAGTCTTTTTTCTATCAAGCACATTTACTATCAAAATTGACTTTGCACTTGATAGCTTTAGCTTTAATTTTAAGAAATCATGTTTTTTATTTTCCAATATTGTGGATTTTTTTTTTAAAAAAACCCTTTTAATATCATTCTAGGACACCTTTATAGGACAAATATTGCTCTTTCTGTTACTTTTCAGGCAACTGAATTATATTACAACTTAGGTTCCAATAATAGAAAATTAATGCTCTTATTAACAGAAATTTCAAATATATATTAGTCTCATAGTAATCTTCCAAAAACACAAAAAATGCAAACACACACGTATGTGTGTATGTATGTATGTATGTACATATAAAAGCGTATGTATGTATGTATAAAACATCATTAAGTAAATCAGATCAATTTCAGTAATATGTTATTAACAGAACATAGGTTTTTTTAAAAAGGGGGTTTAAGTAAAGTACTTTTGTTTTGAAATGGACATTATACTGGCTTAGTATAGTGTGAACCCATCCATTAATGTCCAGATTATGTGATTCCCAATATGACAGTGTAAAACCTGAAAAAAAATAGATAATGGTCTAATAATTCTAAAGCCATTAAAAGAGTTACATATAAATGTGTGGTTTTAGTCAAATAAAGAATTTTTATTTTAGGAATAAAATTAACAATAGTATCCTTCAAGTAATAATACATTTTCCAGATCTGGGAAGTTAGTATGTTGAACAGGTTTAAATGTTTAAATGTTAATTTACTCCAATAATTATTCTTTAGGTAAACTGCAGTAATAGCAATTTCTACTTTGCTTTTTGCAAGGCATTAAATTTTACTATGACCTAAACAAAACTATCGCAAATTCCTTAATACTGTCTCATAGAGAAAGTGTTACAATTCAGTTGTTTTCATGTACAATAACAAGAGTTTGGAGTATGTTAAACAAACCTTTGGTGGAGAAGCCATGTGAATATGTTGAGATTGCTTCTGGACATGGTCAACACAAAATAGTTTCGTCCTAACTACAAATTGCATGTAAAAGAATTACCCCCCCCCCCGCCCAATTGAGTTCATTACACCTTCTCCTTATTAAACCCAAGAAATAATTAGTTTTTAAAGTATTTACAAAATGAACATATGATTGGGAGGCACAGATGGGCCAATTATATCTAGAGAGGCACAATCTCCAGTGGCCCCAGTCTTTGGATGTTTTGCTGGGGCTGAATAGTCTTCTAGCTGTGTGACAGTATCACAGTATGCAAAATAATAAAAGGCACAATAACATTAAATTAAACGTAAGCTAGAAGAAAAAAGTTATTAAGTCAAAATGTACAATAAAAAGGATTGGAAATTATATGAGTAATACAAATTATATATAACGGGGCTTAATGCTTTGTAATTTATTAAATGTGTGAAGTGAGAATTGCATGTTTTACACAGATTCCAGGATTTCAAACCTTGCCATTAGAAAACTTCCTTTTAAAGAAGGATAAAGGCTCTCCCATAGGAGTTATACCTGAGCAAATATTTGCCTAGTTTACATAATTATAGATGGCTACATTATTATGAAACAAAGCACTAATCTACAAAATTAGAAACTGTACAATAAGGTAGCGATACAAAGCACCTTGTGATGGTGGTTGGCCATTCTTGAATAGGTTCTGAACAAATGCACAGAGAACAAAATTAAAATCCATTAGTTGAGAAGTTGACATATTTCTTTATGAACACAACATAAGAAGTCCACATAAGAAACTCCTCCGTAGATGTTCTTGTCTTCAATCAAAAACTGCTTGAAAACCATCTCTGTTTGTTCTCGTTGCTTCACAATCAGAATCTTTAAAAAAAATGGTTTAAGAATGAATGAAATGTACAAATGCTGCTTTGAGTCTTATTTCTCAGCTTAATTAAAGAGCAAAAAATGTTTAAGGTTATATTAAAATGTTTTCAGAGGAGGGAATTAGGCAATCATAAGTAATTTTTTAAGTAATCTTTTACCTTCATGGAATAAGGTGTTCTACTTTGGAGCTGATCTATTATAGACCTCAGTTTTGAAGAGTAGGGATTATCCAGTTCTGGAAGACGTGACTATATGTAATGAATAAATACACATACAGAATTAGCACACATGAAAATTGCTATTTTGGAAAAACAAAGATTGTACAACATATGGATACTTGCAATGGATTTGAAAGGCTAAAAGTTGCTGACTTGTAACAATGAAAAGAGCAAATTATTTGCTACAGAAAAAAAATTCCTTAAAATTCTCTGTGAATGTAATTTCATTGACAAATTCATCAAGATCATTGATAAATATTGTATTCATGATCAAAGATGAGATAAATTACAAGGAAGATTTGGAAGCTAAAATAGAATTTCATCAAAACAACTATTCAATGGTCTTATTGAACCACCATAAGAAATGATAATTGAAAAGTACTGTATTTAGCAAATCTGGAGGTAATCTAGGACATATGGTTAATAGGACAATATTCACATACAATTTGACACAGCCATTAATAAAGGCATCATTAAAAGGCCAGATTAAAAGGCAAGTATAAGACAGTTAACAAACAGAAGCAAATTCAGTGGAAGGCTACCAAGATAATGAAGGAACTGGAAACCAATTCCTATGAGCGTTGTTAAAGAGTTGTTTATCATGCAGATAAGAAGACTAAGAGAAGATATGATAGCGATCTTCAGATATCTAAAGAGTCACATAGAGAACTGAATGGCATTGTTCCCTTTGCCTAGGATGCAACTGTTTGAAATATACAGGGAATTTGTTTCAGGTTAGCTATAAGCAATTTCCTCACATTAATAGATGTCAACCAGTGAGATAAATATGAAATGATATACTTCCCTTTGCTGGAATATTCAGAGGATGGATACTAGCTGTCTTCTAGATTCTAGAATGTTTCAGCAGTTCTTGCAATAAGAAGGTGATAGGACTAGGCAATCTTTGAGGTGCCTTGCAACCCTTGTGATGGAATGATATACCATATTTTTCAGTGTATAAGACGCACTCCCCCCCCCCCAAAAAAAAGTGGGTGGAACTGTTTGTGTGTCTTACACAGCGAATGTTGATGCCCCGCCCACCCACCGACCCCCACCTTTTGGCCTCTGCCTCCCAGCAGTTTGCCTCTGTGCAGCAAACAGCCAACAGCCTGGACAGCTTCAGGACAGATTAGCACAAGCAGCTGATTGTCAGACCGGCCTCCCGACAATCAGCTGTTTCAGGCTGCAGAGATCGCCATTGCCTATTGCCGCCTCCGTGCCCCCCATTTTTGGACTCTGCATCCCGTTTCCGGCCTCCACAAGCCCCATTTTCAGCCTCCGCACACCCCATTTTCGACCCATTTTGGGCAGCAAGGATCAGAACGGGCAGAAAATGGGGCGCGTGGAAGTTGAAAATGGGGCATGCGGAGGTAGCAATAGGCAATGGCGATTCCTACAGCCTGAAACAGCTGATCGTCGGGAGGCTGATCCAACCGACAATCAGCAGCTTATGCTAATCAGGCTGTCCTGAAGCTGACCAGGCTGTTGGCTGCAAGGAGGCAAATTGCTGGGAGGCAGAGGCAGATATTTTTTTCTTGTTTTCTTCCCTAAAAGCTAGGTGCGCCTTATACTTTGGAGCCTCTTATACTCTGAAAAATACAGTAAATCCAATTCACTTTACTTTAAATTTGTGTGCTTCATTCTGAAAACTTGCCTATACATTAATCAGTCCTGGCATATTGCATCTTAGCAATTCAGACTGGTTTCAGGGAGAAAGTAATAGAGGCATTGTTTTGGGAAATCAATAGACTTGTGAAATAACTTAGGTATAGAAAACTACCCACTTTTTCTGTGTCTGTTCCTACACATCTGCATTCTCATCTTTATAAAGGAGCAATGATGTCAAGGCTGCATGGTTCGTATCATATCATCTGACACTTGCAATGCAGTTTGGAAATGAAGTATTAATAAGCAAGCATTCAGCAGCTCTTTCTCAAATACATAACACTATACTCACAACCTCAGTGCTGACATGTGCAAAGGAAGGCACATTAAATATCCCTTGGATAAGCTCTGGTGGGGCACTGACTCCAAGCCATAGAAACATTTGTAGAGAATTTGCCAATAGGAATACTCCTCCTTCGGAGAGACGTTCTTCTGAGCAGCGAACAGCAGGAGGAATTGTATCTTTATTTACATCCATAGAATGCTGTGGGATAAAATTTAAGTTCTTAAATTCATTGAATTTTTAAAAAATAAAAATCCAAATAACTATGAGAGTAAATTTGATGTAGTGATTTAAAGCACGAGGGTCAAAAGTGGGAAACCATGAGTTTTATACACAGAGCAGGCAGGATGCCGTTAGGCCAGTTACTATTTCTCAGCCCTAGGAAGCAGGCAATGGCATACCAATGACATTGTATGGACTTGTCCAGATAGTTGCCAGCAACCTGAAGCCACCTGTACACATAAAAACCACATAATTAATACTGTGATTAGTCTTGGAATAGGCAATCTTGTATTGGTACGTAGGAAAAATATTGAGAGACAGAGCAATGAGACACAACCAAAGGAGGGTTGAGAAGATCAGCAGCAGCCCACAGACTACACTGAGATTAACAGATTAAGATTAACATAAAATACTGAACAATTAACAGCTTTATTAACTCTTTACACCTTTTAACCTTTCTAAATTTATATTTAACCTTTTCTGAAATATACATACATACATACAAACATACATACATACATTCTTATGTTTTCATGGGTATTTATATGTATGGCATTCAGCTTTGTTTGGGTATTTTCCCATGTCTTTATAGTTGTGCTTTTAAAGTTGTAGCGACATTTCAGCAGAATATATGCTTTTTTTTGCTGGTCAGGACAAATATAATTCATTGAATACAACTTTCCTTTTCCTAATAAGCTTGGATACATAGATTCTGAATCAATCAAATGATGACTGTAAATCTATGAATTTAGGAGACTATTCCTACATTGGCAACTCTACATATTATGCGGTATATACAAAGAATAATGATTTAGGCACAAAAATGAGTGCAATATTCTTAAGATTAATACATTTTGCAAAATAATTTATTTTGGGGTGAAAATCTACCTGCAATTATCAGGTTTATGCAAGGGAACAAATTGTAAAAGTTGCTCTGATTTTTCTCTGCTCAACAATACCGGACAATACTACACAACTTACTGTCTGTCCGTTTTTGCCACTGGAAGGGAGTGAGAGGGTCGCCAACTACCTGCTTATTGACAATAGCTACAAGTGATCCAGAGGAATTTGTCATTGAGCAACATGAACTGTGCTTCCTCAGTGCCATCACACTATCATACTTATATTGGCTTTTTACAATCTCTGGGAGCTGAAGAAATTATAATGGTAGAACCACTAGCTCAGACAAATGGACTGACCAGCATCTGCAAGACTATGCTAGAGATAGCCTTGTGCCTTAACCTACTGTACCATATTCTCCATGTCGCAACAACTGCCCTGTGATATTGCCCAATATCTGCTGATAGCAAAACACTTACAATTGGCAAAAGCTGTGGGTAGAATAAAAGTTGGGTGCTAGCAACATCCATTGACATGACCAGCTGTCTATGAAAAGTTCTTTCATCCGTGGGAATCTCTGACTTGCCCAACAGCACACAGCTTTTCAGAAGGCTATTCATGTAGACAGGAAATACCTTCATTGAATCAGGGAGAATAAGCTGAAAAAGAAGAAAAGGCATCAGCTAAAGAGTCTTGTCGTTCATGTTCTCCAGCAGAATTTGCATCTGATCAGTCCCACAATCAACTGCTTTTGTCTGATAGACTTTTATAAACAAATATTAGTTTAATTTAAATGGTTTTCCTGTCTTCAAATGTCACAACTCTGTTTATATTTCAATCCATAAATCAGTGTTATGAGAAAAAGTATATTCAATAATTAAAATAAAACAAATATGAAATATATTCAACTTCTGATTTTTTTTCTCCCTGCCTAAACATTCTTATTTTGTACCTATAATATAAAGGTGAAATCTGTTTTTTGGTATCATATACACACATTACAAATCAAGGATCACATGATTTGGGACTTAATCCAGCCTGCCCAATTATAACTGCTCTTATGATCGGATCTTGGTAATTAGAAAAGGATAAATTTATCAAGTGATTTGAGTCTGAACAAAAGTGTCCGAATTTTTGAAAGTTGTGCTTTTTTAAAAATACAGAAGTATAAATTCAAAATTGCAGTTCAGTTATAGGACAATAAAATATGTTTCCTTTTATGAAAGAACATTCTGTTAGCCATATACCATACAAAGCAAAAATTGTTCTGAGATATATATACAAAATTGCATGTAGTTAAAAACTGTATTGCATTATTTATAGCACAATGACATTTAGGGATTATCTTATCCTGCACATACAGAGATGCCAAGACTGTTGAAGGCCAAGTTTTTAAGCAAGCAGTTGCTACAAAATCCAATGAACATGCAGCATTACTGTGTAGCACATATGGGAATGATAAATACGTTAAATCTTTCCTCATAGTCAGCCTGGGCTAATACTGACCATAAAAGGTGCTAGCTAAAGATGAAAAATAAAGGGTTAATGCTAAATTCTTCGCTGTGCTTCTTCACTGAATAATTAGGCTTTAGGCAAGTGCTATTTTTGTATTGTGGTTTTATATTTTTATATTGCATAATTTACAGTCCTGGCCACAAAATAATTGAGCAAAAATAGGTGAAGAAGGGTGTTTATTTCAGATTGCAATTTATGTCTTTGTAAGCTTATTAAAAATCAGCATAAGAAAACATGTTAACTTAAATCAGTTAACATTTGGAGGAAACAAAGCACAAAATATTATAATCTTGACTTGGATTCTAAATATTTTGTTCTTTGAATTGAAAAAAAAAATCCATGGAGCACAAACCATCCATATCCACTAGTTTAAAATCAATAACTGGAATAGTGCCATGAGAAATTTTTATATTACAATTTTATCTGGCTGTGTCTACACTGAGAAAATCTGTATTGTCTTCGGCTTGCTGCTTTATTTAACCATCCATCCATCCACCCAACCATCCATTCATCCAATTTCTAAGCCACTCAACAGAAAAATATACTATTCAGATAATTCTCAGGTTACAACAATTGGGACCCACATTTCTATCATTAGGCAACACTTTTTGATATTATATAGAATACAACATAATATGACTGCATTGCATTGTAATGTCAATCTCTGTAATCGCTATTGCCTTTGTGAACTGGGAAGGGGATACAACTTTCCCTGCTGGTTTTCCTATTGACCTTGCCAGAAAGCTGGGAGAAAAGATTGCCATTTACAATCACATGACCACAGTACACTGCAATCATTGTAACTGCCAAGCACCCAGAACTCCATCTACTGGGGTTGCTGGGATGGCTGGAACTTTGAGGACCAGTAGTTGTAACTTCAAACCATTGCTGTATAAGTAGTCATTAACTGAGGACCTCAACTTAGAATGGCCAACCAGACAACATGCCCAAAAAGTCTAGGAAAACCCCTACATTGCACACTACTTTCAAATGGGGGAATGTTATTGTTAGGCTAAGTCCCAAAAGGGACATAACAATCCAGCCCAGATTCAGTTCTTTATTTGCTTACACCACGTAGATTGAAACTTGCCAGACTACACCTATGCTATCCTAAATGAATGGATAATCTAGAGCAGGGATTTAAACTCAATTTTATTGAGGGCCGCTTTAGGACTGTGGTTGATCTTGGGAGGGCTGGAGGGCATGGCCAACTGAGTGGGCATGGCCAGCTGGGTGAGTGGGCATGGCTAGCTTGATGCTACTCCCCAAACTGCATGTTTCCTCTTTGCATTGGGTAGACCAGGCTGAAGCCACACTGCCCCAATATTTCTTCTTCGCATTGGATAGACTGGGCTAAAGTCACGCTGGCCCAATGTTTTCTCTTCACATTGGGTAGACCAGGTTGAAGTGACACGAGCTAGCCCCATACATTTTCCAGGGTGGTCCTGTGGGCTGGATCCAACCACATCCGGCCAATGGGCCTTGAATTTGACACCCCTGATCTAGAGGGTGGTTATGCTAAATCTCTCTTTCTTCACAATTCAGCTCTGGATTGTGCTGTCTCTTATCTCAACCCCCGCCCCCTCCTAGGAATGTACTCCCTTCTTCCTGGTATTGCTATAGTTCATCACATTGCTTCCTTCTTTGTAGATACATTCTAACATAGCTATCCCATTTAAGACCAAAGATGGAAAATCCAGAACTAAGAGATCCAAAGATATGCTAATACTTGGTCTTGCTAGAGTTAAGCGTGATTTTCTCGCATCCAGACCCCAGCAGCCCCTCTATTTGCTGAGACAAGACTTGACAGCATCATTTTGAAAATTTAGCAGCATATTCTTGAAATAAATTTATATTCTATAATGGACTTCTGCAGCATATCAGATTTCAGTCCCTAAACTCATTTAACTGTAGGCAGTGGGGCAGAAGGCTCACTAATGTTTACAAGCACCTAGTCTACTTAAGGGAAAAATAAAATTTGCACATGGAAATGCAGTATTTCTGACCCTGATATCAGATAATTTTTGCTTACGTGTGAAAATAATACCCAAATAATCCCCAAATAAAACTTCTATGGCTGGAAACGTGAAATACCTGGCTCACTGCAGATGGACTAGCACAGTTCTTTCTGTAACATGCCAACATGCGAGCTGTTTGATTCACCAGGATCTCACGAACAGTCTTCAAGGGCTGGCTGAGAATGGCTTTATAAGCTATCATTATATAAAGAAGTGATAAAATATGTTATGTTAACCATTATACCTTTTCACAGAAGAAAAAAATTCAGACTTCAGATATTTGAAAAAGTTTCATCTATCTACTCTTTCTAAACAGAGTATAAAACTTTGTATATTAGGATTAAATTAATAAACTGTGAGAAAATTATTCACCTGGCATCTATGGTCAACCTCAACAAAAATGGCCTATACTTTTGCTCCAATGCTATAATAGTGGCTTAACCATAGTGCTCTATTAATATTACTATGATACACAGAAATACTGAAGTATGAACTTATGATTTATCCAGGAACTTAAATTAGATATATGAAAAGCATTCAGCAACTATTGCTAATTTACATAACTGTCTTGTGGCAATTTCTTATATATCTATGACAGGAATTGGTTATTTCTGATTTTTAATACCATGTGTTTTATCGGATTTTAAATGTCCAGCATCACTTTCCAGCCTCCCTCCCCACTCCCAAAACACATATTATATGCTGACCTGATTTTGCAAAGAAATTTACTAGTGCATCAGTCTCACAGCTCTTGTAGATATCAGCTAACTGGGAACTACAACTGAGTCCAATGTTATGTATGCGCAGTCTTCTTTGACCATTCATGGATGTGTAAAGGACTGCACACTGCAATGACAAAAATCAAGATGATAGATAAGTTAAAATGGTTAAGTTATTTGCATTTTCTACAAAGGTATTTCAACTTGTTTTTAAAACAGTAATTTGGGACACTGACTCAAAAGATTTATTTATTTATTATGTTTATTTATGCAGCCACCTATCTCACCATTACAACTTTAAATGGCACACACAGGGTTTAGACTTGGGTTGGCACTGTAACAGAGTAAGATGTGAAATATTGAAAAATTCAGGTAGAGTTTTATTCTTTTCTTTTGAGTATGAGTCCAAATGAACCAAAACGTAGTAACACATTATAACGAATTGGACCAAGGACCATTTTAAGCTAGCAACGCTAAACTGACTTCCAAGGTACTTCACAGAGGTCCTCCCTACCCCTATAATTTGACATGCCAGGGACTTAACTATTTTCTTCTTCACATGTACTTTATACTCAAAATTATATAACCACAGCCTATGAATTGTAATATTTGTTCATTGTAATAATTTTCCCATACTTAGAAAATTAAATGTCTCTTTAAAAATTATTATAGATTTTTCATGACTTACACTCACTTTCATTTAGTGTACCTATGCCCTTTATTCTGAAGAAAGACACTAATAACTTTGGTATGTTGGAGCTTTAAATATGGGCATACTTTACTAAGGAATGGGGCTTTCTTTGCCAAGAATCACTGTTTACCACACTTACATGAAGAGTTCTGATATTTCAAGGTATGTGAATAATTGTAATTGTAGCAAAATGTTGAAATAACTTTGGAAATTGCTTATAACTGGCAGGAAAAAAGGAATGCAATCTTGACAAATAAGTCTTCACTACAAATGAAGGTTTACATGTTGCCTATATTTTAAAGTAAAGGATGTCTTTATCACTTCTAAGATCAAAAAGCCCATAAACCATAACTATAACAAATCAGGATGTATAAAAGGCCCACCTACATTTGCTTTCAATGCTGCTGTGTTTCCCTACTATGACAGCAGCTGAAGCAGCAAATATTATAAAGACACTAAGAAATAAGCTAAGACAACATGTGGTCATCTGAATCAGGAGTTTACTGAAGGTGGATGGGAGCTTCTCTACTGTGCTATTCATAGTCTTGTCATAAACAGCCAAGCTTCAGCTCTCTACCAGGAAAACAGAAAAGCGCTGCATGAACACAACAGCTAGTGTTGACTGTGGTCAGCCACACACAATGATCCAATGAAAATTCCAATGCTGCATTTGGCATATGTCAATTACAGTAAAGGTAGCCAGAATGATGGCATTTTTCCTGAGGTAAATCACTGCTCATATGTTAGGGAAGTCATATGACAGTGTGCAGGTTGCTCAATACTGCCTGTATGTACCAATTATGCATAGCAATGTACAGTAATGGTCATCCAGAAAGACACCAAAGAGGCATGGGATCTAGGAACTTCTTACCTGGATTAAAGCCCCACCATCTTCACTCAATTTATCATCATGCTTGAACTCCACAGTCACAGCTTTGTCACAATCTATTGCTGCCAGTTCAACATCTGTGGTATTGTTCATGTAAATAGATCCCAGGAAGTCTGTTGCTCTAAAACCTAAGAGATGATAAGTTATACAGTTAATAAAAGCCACCAGCACCATTTTTGCACTAGGTAAGATAGCTGATTACTTCAAAGGACATAGTTCACTATTCACCCACCCATGACAATCTGCATCCTCTTTAATGTGAGAAGCTGATTTGTTAAATAATAAATACTATAGTTACCTTACTTATAAGAAACATTAACCTGAAACCAGTGAAAAGTCCCATTATTCGTAGCTGAAGCAGCAATCAGAAAACTTACTTTCAAAAAGAAAAGTGTGTTTGAAATTCAGACTGATAATCATGACATTTTTTTCAAATGTTCCACTATAATTATGCCAACAATGATGGATTTATTCTGCGCTATGTAATTGAATGTTTCAGGAGGAAACCAGGGTGGTTTCTCATCTATAAACCAAGCCAAATCCAGAATGCATTTGGAAAGATTTTACAGATTTTGCATCGAGGTTTACTAATTCCGAATGCTTCACATTTTGTTCCAAGAAAAAAGGGACATATTAAAACTACCTGTTAAACCATGTAAAAACAAGCAAATAAAAATGTCTATAGTAATCATTATTACCTGTGCTAGTTCGAACTCTCATAATTGCATCAAAACCCACTTTTTTTTCTATATCCTTCCTCAGGTCATTAAGAAACTGATGGCTGTCAGAATGTATCTAAACAAAAACAAGAGATTGGAAAAAACTTGAATAAATAATGTCTACCGCTAGATGGCAGCAGCACAACATAAATTGTTTCAGGATATAAACTGTTAGGAATTAATAGCACTAAATCACTCCTAAATAAAGAATTTATTTAGTTAATACTTGCAGATCTTTCACATTCTCACATGGTCATGCAGACTAAGAGAAAAATCAAACTGCTTGTTATACATAGAAAAAATACAATATTAGTAAAGAAAACCTATTCTTTTAAAATATGTGTGAAAGTAACAGATATTTAGAAAATAGGTTATCTTTATTATTTAAAAAACAAGCCAACATTAGAGTAAGCATGTATTTATGTTAGAAGTTGGCTACATATTACATTCCCAGTTTAATAAAATAATTGTAAGATTTTCATAATCTTACAAGATTATGTTGTTCATTGTCATCATAAACTTAGAGGACGTGTAGGAATGCAAAAATAACAGTGTGATTTATAATTATTTAATATCAGAAAAAGGACTGAAATGCCACTAAACATAAATGGTTCCTGTGGGAGTCTAGCACTAATAAGCAGAGAGGGACATAATCCATATATTTCTTTATCCTATTTGGAATGGAGAAGAAAATCAGATTAAAATTTTAGTTCCAGTTGTATAAAAGGCTGCAAAACAAAGTTTTTTACTCATTGCTAAGAGAAATATGTATTGCATTCTTCTTTATTTGTTCCTATAAGTGCTCAAAATTCCTCATATTTTTCCACAGAACACTGTGAAATAGTTCAGGCAGTGACTATGTCCTGACAAATTTTCAACCCTAATCCTCTGATTGCACGTGAACCTGAACCTTTATCTCTTTGGTCCCTATTCAACATCTTAACCATTGCATCACATTTTCAGAGGTCTTATCATAAGATTTTCCATTGCCCAAACACCACATTACTTTTATCCTATTGTAGGTGAGTTGCTAATCTATATGTCCCATAAGAGTTAGCTAAAATGGCCAGTGCTGAGGTCTGCTGGAAATTAAATAATTCTGTAGCATCTTCATATAGAGGAATTTCACAGGAAATTGTTAGGCATTTGGGGGGAGGGGAATCCCTTCACTAAAAAGAATTTTTTGTCTTACAAGATTTACATTCTACAGGCCCTAAATCCTTGCCTTTTCAAATTAATATCCTGATGCCAGATTTATTATAGTTTTCTTAGATAGCCCAGGTGCTACAATATACTTTGAATATAACCATACTGGAATCTATGTTTAATCTACATGTAGTTAATTAATTTAGTTCAGTTAATTGGATGGAAGTTATCCCCTGCAGTTGAAGAAATTCAGGGCAATGTGTGTGGGCTGAGATTGGGAGTGGGAAATGAAGGCTATTATCCGGTGGAAAGCTTTCCAGAATATTTTAAGAAGGATTTTAGGACGTCTCCAGCATATTTCTGTACCTATTGAAGGTGGAAGTTGCATAACAGAGAATTCATTCTGCATTTATCAAAATTAGAAACTGATTCCCTATGTATAGATCACTGCTTTTGGGACTACTACATAAGCTTGCTGTTAGCAAATTGTCATCAGATTACACAGTAGAATTTATGACTCTTTTATCTAACTATGTATGCATTTCAATTTAATATATGCATACATGCATATACATACATACATACATACATACATACATACATACATACATTTAAAATGCACTGAAATCTTGAAAACCTGGAAAAATCTTATGAGATTCCAGGAAAGAATCCATTTTTGGCCACTTACATTTTTTACTTTATTTTTGCAGCTGTTACATAAACCATCTGTCAAGGCTGACTCATAACACACCTCTACTTGCAACTTGACAACAGAAACAAAGGGAAGGGAGAGGACAATTCTTGGAATATATTGGGAGCTGGGAGGGCGGTGAGGAATTTATGTGAGCTGTTTGCAGTCTGAGAAGCTGCGGATCTTCAAGGCCATGTGATAAGAACCTTCTGAAGGCATAGAATGTTTTCTCAAAATAAAAAGAAAGTGTTGGATTTCTGGACAATGGTTAATGGATGGTTCAAATAAGAAAAAGGGGCAATTAACTGTGCTGTTTTTGTGTGAAAACCTCAGAGCTACTGTTGCTTCTTCTGTCCCTGTATGGACCTATCAGTAAAATTATACTCTTGGTAAAATAATGTCCCAGAAGTTTCTTTTGCTATATATGCCAATAGGACAACTGACACCATCTACAATATCTACAGACCTCAGGTTGCAAACTACTGAAACAAAAAAAGAAGCCTTTGACAGTTACCTGAAAATTGTTGTACTTGTATAATGTTCCTCCAGTATGAAAAGTGACAAGGCCCATGGAAGCGATATCTACATACTGGTTTGGGAAAAGAAATAGATTTACACAGCAACCGTTGGCAACACAGTCCTTGGCTAAGGCCTCATAAATATTTGTCTGGGCCTGAAACAGTGTCTGGAGAATATAAAAGAATATAAAAGAATTAAGCATTTTAAGTAACCAGCAAGCAAAAGAACAAGATGTTGCAAAGAATAAGGAGGCAAACAAAAACATATATGAAATTAAACTATAGTTTTAAGAGCTAAGCATTAACCAAAAAGGCAGCTGCAGGTTTTCTTGACAAGAATATACTATCTATTTCAGGTATTAATCAAATATATAAATGTATTAAGAAAAATTTACACAAATATGTTCATGCACAAATATGTTCATTAACTGGAATAAGTAGTCTTCGCTTACCATTGGTTACTAATTCGCTCTGCCTACTAATTTTGTTAACTTTGTTGCTAAGCATTGAGATTGTAAAGTACAGTGTTAATGTGACTGCGACGATTTATGACTGAAGTTTGGACAGTCCCAGCTGCCATCATAAAGCAAATCCCATACAGCCACAGCATCCTGCAACCACACAATTGCCATTTGCTACTTCCAGCCAGCTTCCCTATTAACTTTGCTTGTTGGAAGCCTGCAGTGAAAGTCACAAATGGCAGTTACATGACTGTGAGATACTGCACTGTTGTAATTGTGAGCTGGTTACCAAGAACCTGAATTGCGATCTAATGACTGCAAGGATGCTGTGAAGAAGGGAACAATGAGAACCTGTCATAAATCTCCCTTATTTGGTGCCATTGTAACTTTCTTTGCTGGAATGAGTGGATATTAAGTGAATATTACTGTATATATGACTGACACAAATTAATTATTTGAAACAAAAATTTTGTGGCACACAAACGCAACTGACACTCTTCTGGGAGCAGAGGATGCTAAGTCCAGAGAAAGCTGAAAGCTCTGCTAAGGTTTCCCTTCTCCTTGTAAACTCCTTATAGCCTTCTGGATGAAGAACTTTTCTACCAGAGAATTCTTAGTATCACTAAGCATCCAACCCTTGCCCAACTCCAACTACTACAAAAGAGGGTGATCATTTTTAATTGAGATAGCTCATTAAGGCAAATGATCCAAACCTTCATATCACTCATTTTACAGTAGGGGTTTCCCACCCAATATTGACTTTCTTCTGCCTTCCAAGCAAAGGATTTTTTTTTTAAAAAGAGGATCTTAGATATCAGTGTCCAAACCGATATGGAGATATTGGTTAAAATAACAGATCTTTAAACTGGTTGATTAGGGGGAAAAAACTCACTTTCCAAGCCAAAAAAAAATCAGACAATGAATTAGAGGCAATTCCTAAGAAGGGCCTATTCTGATGGAAGAATTGAATTGTTGGAATCCATGGCCTAATATGGGAATTTCCTTCATCTGCCATATTATGAGAGGATCTGTATATGTTTTCATGTTTTATTTGATCATCAATTGTATGCTACTTTTCGAGTTAGATATTTAAAATTCCTACTTCAATGAATAGCTCACTAGGACCTGAATCATAGATTCTCCTATTTCCTCTTTGACTCTAATATATATGTTGTTAGCAGAACTGCAAAGCTGATAGACAAAGCAGTGGAGCTAAGAATGTGTTATATTGAAAGTCATGGTATAATGTAAAGGCAGTATATTTATTCGAAGATTAATTCTTTGTATTTCACCAGATATGTATTTCATTATTGTGTTTTCTTTTAGCTATTTTATAGAGTTTACATTTTATTTTAAATATGGTTATACATTTAATTGATTATCTATCTCTCTATCTCTAATTTTCTATCTATCTATCTATCTATCTATCTATCTATCTATCTATCTATCT